GATCTAATAAGACATAGCAGTATTTCCCAACAGTGGCTTCGTAGTCTTGTGGTCTAGTAGTAGGCAATTCGCGCCGAGCAACGGAAGTTAGATTTCCGAGCTAGTCGTAGCGTTTTGCGACGAAGCGTGTGGCGGCTCCTTAACAACTATAACAGCTTGTACAAGCAGGACGAAACTCTGAGTTTCAAGAATGAAACTCGGAGTTAACTCTGAGTTTCGAAACGAAAGTAGTCAGAGTTAACTCTGAGTTAACGCGCAGCTTTGAACTCGGAATTTCGACCAGTTTACTGCCGGCCCTGATGTCGAGTTTATATGCGTGAGCAGTGAGAGTTCCGAAGGGCTTTTCGAACGAAGACATAAAAGATTTTCAAATTTTCGGGCATCCAAAACTTTTTGATTTTGGTTAAAAACTTGGGGCGGACTGAAGCTGGTGCTGAAGCATAGACGCCAGCTTATACAGGGTGTCCCAAAAAAATGTATCGAACGTTTGATCTTTAATAACTTCCCTATATGAAAAGCTTTCGCCGATCTTTGTGTGTCATACGGTAGAACTGGGTTCAATCAGATTTACATTATAAAGCGAATGACAGATTTCTTTTAGTTACTGTAGGATTACGGTAGGAATTTTCGACTAATTTGAAGCTTCTGACAGGCGAGAACACTGCTTCTGAATAATCCAAAAAAACCGAAGGACGTTGAACTGAGGTTTTTGGGGATGCTGAATCTAACAATAAAGTTTTCTGCTACTTCCTACGGTATACGCACTGTAACGCCAAATTTGGCTTTTTTTTCCAATATTTACTATAGTGTGGAACCCGGCCAGGTTCCCATAGGTACTTCCGCAGCGCGCACACAGCGCGCGTCCTTCTCAATGTCTCTCACCTCACTCATGAGCAGTAGAGCATATTTATGCTCACAAAGGAAAAAAATGTAAAGTGAAAACCTCTGGGTTCACTTCGAAAGAGACGTACGCAGAACGAAACGCAGCAGCCTCCATGAGTACCTCAAATCCAATCAATGGATGCATATTCCGAATTTGCACTGATGGATAGGTTGTAATAAGTATACGTAGAGAAATGAAAGAACAACAGCATTCTTAAAACATTTCTCTTTGTAGACTTAGAAACCGGAGTGGTCAAAGATTTCAAAAAAGTGGACACTTCAGTAAACAAATGCCTATTGGCTTCTCGGAAGGCTCAATTTTAACTTGAGACACTGTCTACACCTTACACATCAGACCGAAAGGGACATTTATTTTATACAAGAAGCTTTTGAAAGAATATTATCTTAATATCAAATCTCAATTTTTCAGAAAAAAAAAGGAAAACACAAGATTACTACACAAGACTGAAGCTCTTAGAAGTATTAAAGCACGTGAAATCTCGTCACAGGTCATCTCGAATTGTTTATACCTGAAATAGAAATAATTTAGTACACCAAAAACAAAAAAAAAGAAAGAAAGGAGGATTTCCATCAGAAGCTAGGACAGGATACGCACTGAAGGCGCGCGTTGCGGGTGCGTCGCGAGGGTACCTATGGGAGCTGGCCGGGGTCCACACTATAAATCAACGTTGTCCTTGTCAATTTTGAAAAAAAATTAAAAATTTAGGGTTACAGTGCGCATACCGTAGAGAGATGAGGGGTACGGTAACGGAGAACTTCGTAAATAGACTCAGCATCCCCAAAACCTCAGTTTAGCGTTCTTGTTTTTTTTGGGATTTTTAGAAGCAGTTATCGCCCATCAGAAGCTTCAAATTAGTTGTTCCTACCGTAATCCTACAGTAACTAAAAGGAATCTGTGATTTGCTTGATAATGTAAATCTAAGTTGAACCCAGTTCTACCGTATGACACACAAAGATCGGCGAAAGCTTTCCATATAGGGAAGTTATCAGAGATCACGTTCGATATATTTTTTGGGACACCCTGTAGAGCTTGCTTTGCTCTATCGAATGGTATCCTGGTACCTATTTAGAGTAAAAAGTGTGTAATTTACTTGCGGAAATCCAAAAATAAAAAGACTTATGGGACAACCTAATATATAAAGACGAAGAGTGGAAAAAATCATATGCTTTTCATAGACTTTGAAAAGAACATTGTTTTTGCGTCAACCTGATAGATGTCATTGAAATTTTAGTAATTTTCATTCCCATCGAAGAAAACTTGCTTGACAGTTTCGTTTCGGAATGTCTGCACATTTCCAAATTAATTTCACTGAACTACTAGAAACAAAGATGACGTCATGAAAAACAGCAACCCTTCAAGATAAGCGCTGAGAACTGAAAATTGCTCTATAACTCCACTCTATAAAGGTAGCGTCCACCAAGATCATGCTCTCAAATCTCTCTGTAGTCAATAAGCGAAAATATAATAGAAGTGGTCAAGCATTCGTTCGCTCTAAATTCCTGCGATCAGAAAAAGCTTCACGGTTCCTCTTCTTTCGCCCCACCCATCCAAGAATGCGCTCTGACATCCGACATTGCAAGCATAGTCGTGGTACTGTGTAGCCATTTCCTGTTGCATACAACGAGACTATCCTTAAAGGCAGCGTCCAGGCAAGATCCATCCACCCAGATTAGCACATAGTTGTAAAGAGGGGCCCATGAGTATCCGATCTGCGTTGGTCCGATCCTTTGATGTGGCCTCTAAAGTAGATACGGGCCTGTGATACGTATCACAAGCCACCCCTGAGGACGAGTGCTCACGCAGGTGTGCAGATGCATTGCAGTTGCACTGCACACTGCAATGCAACTGCATCCGAGCAGTGCAGCTCCTCAAGCTGGCATGCGATGGGGACGAGCAATCCAAAACTTGTCCGCTCCTTGAAGAGAAGGTCCCCAAGAATTGGGTTTTTTGGGGGTTCTGAACAATTTGGACTTCACAACTGTAATCAGGGCCACGGAAAGGCTCCAGAATGGCAGAAACATGAGAGGCAAAATTTTGCCCGGACGCTGCCTTTAAGAGCTTTATTTTACAGCTTATGTGCAGGCCTGGCACTAATGTAGAAAAAGCTGGAAATTGCTTAAGGGTAGAAGTAAGGCGGTTATATGCACCAATACCACTCGGATCTCCTCAATTTCGCGATAACAAAGCTTTTACTCGGATGTGTCCAACACAATCTTGCACAATTCGAATGCTAAAAAGCTTATGTGCAGGCCAAATGTTCGAATGTTAAAAAGCAATTTTTATTGCACCAAGCAGTTAGCATTCAACTCGTCAGCACACAAATAACCATAAGGCTTCGAATTTGGTGCGTATACGCACAATGAGGAAAAAAGAACAAGAAACAAAAATGAGAAATTTGAACGTTAATCCAGGAAACGTTTCTGTGCAGCTTACCCCCCCCCCCTCCACAATCTCTTGACACCAAGTCTACTAAAATCCTGGAATGTCTCTGAATTTCTTGTCATCTTACAACCTTATAATTCAAAAAAAGGTTTTGCCTAAAAGCGCGGAAAAAATTTTACAAGGCATATTTATATTACTGGAAGATATTGAGACATATTTCGTATGTGCATGAAACTAACATGTACAATTTGTTAGCACGTTATCTTGGAAATGCGATATTTTCAGAAAGCGTCCCACCCCTCCCCCCTTCCCTCCGTCTGGTCGCCACTGATTGCCAGCACAGATTTACACCACATCACCATAAAAAGTAGTCGACTGGTAAATTGAAAAACATGAAAAGTTTCAAGTAATTGTCCCACCCGACTTTACCGAGATTCACTAATGCGAAAACCGTTGAAGCTGTCTGAAAATGTCATACCATAAGGTAAAAAACTGTCTGCTTCCATTGAGTGTACTGCGAAAAATATTCTGAAAATAATGTGTTGAAGCTTTGGTTTTCAAAGAAACAGTTAGGATAACCATGTGAGAAATTCACTCCATTGAAAAAAATAATTTAACGACTCATCAATTTGCCCGCAGATAGTCACAGGGCTTATGGACGAGAGAGATTCTTTTCGTTGATCCAGTTATCTGGAGTGAGGCTGTCCGATTGCTACTACCAGTGACTGCAGACAGAATGTGCTGATTTTCGAAACATCAAGTTCATATCTTCTCCAACAAGGGAAGGATGGTTAGTTGAAGTGGCGTTTGGGACCTGACATATACCATCTTAAAAAGCATGAAACGCTGATTCAAAATCTGTTTTCCTCATACGCGGAGCTTTCCTGCGCGAGGACCTCTGAGCGTTTATTGAAGCAAAAATTCGATGTGTAAATAGAACAAAAATAGCGACATTTTCCTTAGCTTTTGAATGGAGCAGTTATAATCATTAGAGCACTTTTATGCAATACTTTCAGTTAAATTCACTACCTCATTTAAGAGCTAGGAATATTTTAGCTATTGATTTTATTCTAGAAAATCACTCAATTTTTACTCCAGTGAATGTTCATAACTCCCCGTTCATGATGCTCCGCAGTTAGGGAAGACTGATGGAGTTAGCGTTCCATGCCCTTCACGAAAATATACGTTTCGTCTCAAAAGGCCGCTTCAACCAACCATCTTTTCCTTGTAAGTCGATAGTAGTCTGATATTTTTATAAGGATGCGAGAGGGTTGGAATGGCAAGAAACTTCCGCATAGTAGATAAATACTAGACAGAAGTCAGTGCCCTTATCAAACATCAGGGGCATACGATTGTCACAACATAGCAAACCCCACTGACTACTCACAGAACGGCTCATTTTGTCCTTGGATATTGTTCTACTCAAACTACAGTTTTGGTAAATCGCAGGGGGCGTCATTCTCACATGAACTTCTAAAAGCAAGTTGAGCAAGCTTTGAAAGCTCTGTTGTGCTGAGATGATGTAGTTACTATTTTGATCAATCAAAACTTTGATACATGGCTGGCACAAAACAGAAAGCGGCCAAAAGCAGCGTAGTCATAAAATCAGATTAAAAATTGCTTATTACATTGAAACGGCGAAAAAGTTGTAAAGCTTCTTATCGTAGGTTTACTTGACAAGACTACAATTAATCATTGAGCAAACATGCAACTGCTTTGAATGAGTACGTTCAAAACTTCCATAGTCATTACAATGCTTTCGATCAAGCACGTTGCTATTCTTTTAGCCATTATTGCCTGCACGCTGGCACTCAAGTGCTACACAGGTGCGATAGAAAATTTAGATTTTATGTCAAACCACAGTTACAAGTAGCCTACAAGTTGTTCGGTTTCTTTTGATGTATTTCAGGAAATGCATCGGGTAAAGATCACCCAACAACAACACAAGACTGCCCATCAGGAGCGAAATATTGTGTAGCGTATGATTCAACAAGTCTTCGCATAAAACAGTGCTAAAGGTTGCCTATTCAGAGCCACTGTTCAAGGTTCCGCAGATATGCATTCGCACGGCTGTGACACTGGGGTTTTATGCAAGGTAAGGCATTACATTGTTCTAACTGTGATTTTCAGTCACATTCAAAACTTCATTCGCTATTTGTAGGGTTGTTCATTGAAAACCAGCTATTGGTAAAATTTGGTGTTTTCAGAAGGAAGGCTGCGAAACAGCTAACCTCATCACGTCGTGCTGCTGTACTACTGATCTTTGCAATGTAGGCATAACATCCTCTGGATCAAAACTAATCCCAGCACTTTTCTCCTTGCTACTAGTTACAATAGTGAAATTTATTGTCTATTAAACATATTCCAGCACAGAATCAAGTTCTATACACTGCTGTTTCTTAGTTTCAGACATCCTGTTGTGCTGAATAAACATTAACAAATTATTCGCTGAACGGCCGCTTGACCATACTATAACCAAAATTCATTCAGTAAATGTACAGTTGTAAGCGATATAGCAAACACGCACTGGGCAACATAATTGATAGTTACGACATCAGCTGTTCGACCATCCTTGAATGCCAATCCAATCGACTATCGGTATTAAGCAAGCGTAGGCTTCAAGATCAAAGGATTTCAAAACCAAAGCTTATCATCAAAAAAAGTCTTGTTATCTAAGACCTGCGTGGCTGACTGTATCAAAAACAGTCCTTTGAGACAATAAAATGATAACACCGGGGACGAACATGATTAACACCTTTGAACACTTTCATGATGCCAGATTTTTGAAAAAATGATTTATCAATTATCAAACTTTCTTGGCAACCATCAAATCATTTCTCGGCTACACTTTTATGTGTACGAATCTAAGAAAAACTAAAGTGGTCCACTTCTATTTTACAACGGATTGATTCTATGAATAGTACCATGAATGGCAATTGGTTCTAAGGAAATATTCTCATCAGCAGCTTTTGTTTCAATGTCCAATTATCTTCCTTTATTGATGATGATTCACTGTGCTTAATAGGTATGAAACTTCGAAAACAATAAACGCTCGATAATTCTGCCACCCTCAATGATTGTACTTGTTTATTATTCTGAGATCTGAAGCAATAACTTTTTTTGTTCGCAAGATTGAGACATTTATGCTGCCATTAGCACCATTGAAAAAAAGTTAATGAAATGAAGTTAAAAAGTTGCCAGCTGCAAAATCAGGAATGATACCAAGCACCGGTCGGAGGTAGCCACGAAAAGCAAGTTCGTTGCTGAAAAGACCAGTTTCTTTGGCGCTGAGGTTATTACTTGTATAAAAGTGTAGTAGCCAAAAAAGGACAGGGTGGAAATTCTTGAGAGAATAGCAGTTTCAACCAGCCATGTTTGAGGATTAGTCAAGCTGCAACAAGGTCGTTAGTATAGTGCTGGACAAAATTATAGGTCCGCACTACAATGCCATAGCTCACTCTGTCGTCAATAAAATGCTACGAAATTTGGTACAGCCGTGCGTTCACCAGCCTACTATCAGTTTTCAAACCGGGTTCCCTTTTCGTCTAATTATTCAAGAAAAAAAATTTTTGCAAAAAGTAGGCTTGAAGGCTGGTCAAAATTGTAGGTCCACCTGAAGTTTTTACTGACTGAAGCAGTTCCTAGCTTCCAAATTTGTTCGCGTAAGTGCACATTTAAAAGTGTTAAACAGTCGCTTTAGTCAAGCTGTGTCGTACCTCCAAAAGAAGCGATTATCTGCTTATTTTGCCTTGAAAATTGATTTTACATGTATTTCGCTTCAAAAACCTGCTTTAAGTAGGAAATTCTTCAGTTCCTCAGCTGGATTGGAAGCAATGGAGTTTTGTCCACCTTCAGGATGTTTTCTGACGTGAGCACTGAAGCAAAACCCTGACTTTTTGCTGCTGAAACAAATTCGACAGCGACATCACTGCAATCCTGATTTCTGTCTTCAAACTTCTTCTGCGATGTCCTCAGAAGCATTAAGTATTATAAAAGCATTGTTTTTACGAAGAGGAGTCTGTATTCCGTGGTTACAACTTTCAAGAGATTCTAGTGTTTGAGTATAGTCACTGAAATCACCCTGCAAAAGCTGATTGCGACAAGCACCAAAGCTAATTGTGGCGCTGACCAGATTTTTCAAGAAGAATCATGTGCTAACATACAATACAAGCTGCATCCACAATTTAGTAAATAATTACTGTTAAAAATGTAAGTAAGGTAGCACTTGGCAAACTATTTTGGAAGGGTGATTAACATCATCATTACGCTGCACAACTCATTCGAAAAAGAAGCAAAGGGCAGCTTTGTGAACACTTGTGAGTATAGCTTACAGATTTATTCTTGGAAGAATGCTTTTACTATCTAGAGGTAATAACGATAACGTATAAAGGGTTTTGGGGCGGAATCTGAGGCTTAGGCTCCCGATTAAGTCGATGTCGGATTTGCTTCAGCAGTGAAAACTCGGATTTTTCCTTCAATGGTCATGTCAAAAAGCATCAGAAGGTAGATGAAGCCTCGTCGCTGCTAATCCAGTTGAGAAACTACAAAATTTCCTACTCAAAGCAGGTTTCTGGAGCGAAATTCGTGTGAAAGCATTTTCAAGGCGAAAAAATCATATCGGTTTTTTGGAGGTACGACACAGCTTGACTAAACCGACTGTTTAACACATTTGAATGTGCTACGTGAAAAAATTTGGAAGCTAAGTGCTTCAATCAGTATGAACTCTGGGTGGACCTATAATTTTGACCAGCCTTCAAGCCTGCTTTTTTCAAAATTTTTGATTTTTTCTTGAATAATCAAACGAAAACGAGACCCGTTTTGATGACCGATAGTAAGCTGGTAAACACACGACTGTACCAAATTTTGGTACATTTTATTGACAACAGTGAATTATGGAATTAGAGTGGACCTATAAATTTGTCCACTGCATAATTTTCCCGTCGCTGAAACCAATACTGGGCATTTGACTATACGGTCGCAGACACTTTATTCTCAGATCGGGTAGAGGACTATATGTCGTCGAAAGTGGGAGGGTCCCGCGCGGACTATGCAACAATACTCAGCCTGTGCACGTACTGGAATCTGTATTTGCTACAGGGCCTGTAGTAAACCCCCCGGACGTCGTGACGTATAGCTCGGAGTATGCTGTGACATGTGCTGACTATCATGGAGCGAGGCTGGCAAAGCGGCTATCCTTTATCATTGCCGGTGGATGCAATCGATGCGTAGCGTCAGGGTAGTCGCACTTTGTCGCGATATGTCGCGACATATCGCGACATATAGCGACATATTGCGACATGTCGTGACGAACAAGACGGCGAAATACTTTGTCCATCATAGAGACGCAGAGACATAGCGCAAGACTAGAGCTCGACTACGCCAACCTCGCAATAGGTCGCAATGCACACAGTTCTCTATAACGCACGTCAACCATAATCAATATCAACAGCTGATAAGCGCCTAACTGTTCGAGCAATGCGCCTCTCCCTATTCTCCAAGTACTTCTGCTGCTGCCGCTTTGGTATTTGAAAAAAGGTGAGTTTATTTTAACTAAAAAGTATGTTAGACTCATACTTAGCCATATTTTTCGTACTTATGCAGTTTTTCTTCTTTATTTTTGCTATGCACCTTGTTTGAGCAAAAAGTTCCTTCTTGTGCCAAACTTTCGCAAATTCTTGATCTTTTCATCATTCTTGGCAGTTTCGACCACATATCTTTGGTGGTTGCTGTTCGTTAGCCATGCACCTCTCGTTTCCCTTCGTTTTATGAGAAAGGACCGTCTGGCGTTATGGCTAATGGAATAGCCCATTTTTGAACGGAATGAATGCTGATGATAATATTTTGATTTTTCTTGTGCACTTTCAATGTGTATTCTACTTTAAATTCCATTTTCTTTCAAAAAGAAAATTCTAATTTACGTTCCTTTGCAAAATTCAGATTTCAAATTTCAATTCAAAAAAAAGATAGTGTCGCCTGGAACTTGTACCCCCAACGTCTAGCACACCGGGCTCTCACACTGGCACTGCACTAACTGCAAGCTATGTTGAGTTGTTGAGCTGTTTCACAATAATTGCAAAAGTAGTAGCTAACCCTTCAACAATACTTACGGATAAGGCATGCATATCGTTTTCCAATACTGATTTGCTGCGACTGCTCTATTTGCTACATGTATCCTCTCCCTAGCAAAGCACGGCGTAGTAGCATACAGCGCAGCGAATGTGCGCGCTGCTAGACCATCTGTGTCTTGGCACGGAGCTGGCACGAATCTGGCACGGGCTGGCACGCAGTTGGCTAAGAAGTTATGAAGGATGGGATTTATAATAAAAGAGCTGGCACGAATCTGGCACGGACTGACACGCAGCTGGCTAAGAAGTTATGAAGGATGAGATTTATAATAAAGGAGCTGGCACGAATCTGGCACGGGCTGACACGCTCAAGATTTATTGCGAGCAACAGTCAAATATGGTCCTGCCATAGCGGATATTGGCGCTTCTTACAGCATGGTGTACAAAGATAAGCATAATTCTGCAACAGACATAGATCAAATGCGTTTTCCTATCAATACTGATGAACATGAGATAACGAGTCAAAATATGGGGAATTAGGTGCGCTCACGCGAGGATAGTTAGCTATTGGATTTCCTTTGATTGATTTACCTGCTCTGGCAAGCATAGTATACTACATTCTTGCCTTGCTAAGCAAATACCCCACGGCATATCTGTACTCATAGCGCAGCGCGTGTGACCGCTGTTATCGCGGTCATCAGCGGTTCAATGACGCGCGGAGGCGCTCGTTTTGCGGCGCCCTGCGGATAGCTCGCTATAGTCTTGCGAGATACTCCGAGCTATCACGACATAGTCCCTCTATGTTGTGACAACCACGAGGGGTTTACTATGGGCCCAGATGTCCGACAGGACCTCCCACTTTTGGCGACATATAATCCTCCAATCCTTCCCCCTTCAGATCCTGTCAGGTATTTTATCACGTCAAGGTCTGCCATTGCTAGACATAAAGATGCTTTCCTGATAACTTATCACTGGCGTCCATAATCTGGTTCTTATATTCAAAGAAACGAGAAATTAAGAAGGGCCGAGAATAAAGTTATCCTGACAGTGCTTGATGCGGGCCCGATTTGTACAGAGAGATAAGATAAAGCTTTAATTTCCAAAGAACATTGAGCCTCAATGCATACTCAATGAGACGTCTGACAAAAATATTTATCCTATTTTTAGAAGCAGGAAAAATCTGTCAAATGAGTTTCACGTAGAACTAATGGGAACCCTTACCTAAAACAGTGCCCAGTGTCAATGATTCATTCACGGCTAAGAAGTTGAACTCCAGAGTCCCTTTAGCACTGCTTGATTACCGTATAACCTAGAGCAGGACCTTTACAGTCTTTTCACAAT